TATCACCTAGTTCAGAATTGGCGCCCAAAAGGTGCCCAAAGGCCGAGGCCCATACTCCTTGGTAGCTAGGAGACAGTATGCGCCCCCACTGATTGAATACCTCTACCTGGCCTGACCCACCCTTGTATTTGGACTTTGTTACGTGGGACTGGTTTCTGGGACTTGTTTTTAAGTAAATTTTCCTGGGCCGGGGGTGGGGGGAGGTGCAGAGTCAATTTAAGTTTTACAACAAAATGGCAGTTCAACCGGGGTGGGCCGCTCTGGCTGAATAGGCCCTTACATTACCAAGCCCCCATCGGGTGCAGACCCTTGGACCTGCCACATCACTTGGGGGCACGCTGCCCTGGAGCCCTTTCCCTTTCACAGAGATCTGAATTTACTCTTTAGGAACTCTAGCTGCCAAACAAGCATTGTCAGGATTAGATTAGATTAGAACTATCTTTTGGGCTCCCCTCACTCATGCCTTTGGTCTTGAGAGACAGGATGACACCAGGAATAGAACTATGAGGAAGAAATGGTTAGACCTTCAGTCTATTTCTGTCTTTCAAGCTGTGTGACCTAGGGCAACTCAGTCTCAGAGACTTTCAGTTTCCTCATTCACCAGGAAGATCATACGTACATGCCATTTATCAAGCTTGTCTTGAGCCTTAAGTGAAGTGAGGGACATAAGAGCATTTTATGAACTTTAAAGCTCCATATAAGACACACTTTTGCTATTAAAGAGAAGGGAAAACCGTTGCTCAAGATTGAGCTCATTTTGATATATGGAGAGTATACGTAGATCGATATATTATAATTTGAGAAGAAATAGTTGATCTCTGCCAATGATTCCTGTTCTCCCCGTGATGGCTTGTACCCACACCTGAGATAAATAATTGTTTTATGACTTAAATTTTGTAAAGAATGTTACCGACACCCTGGTTTTCGGAACAGCTGCAGCCAAGAAGCTGGGTCTGTCATGTTTCATGTCAAGATCTTGAAACTTGTTTGTTTCCGTAATGGAAGCTCTACTGGGCTTTCCCCCACCCCCCCTTCCCCTTAAAGAAGGCACTCTATGTTAAATTCTGGTTTTCTTTTGAAATATTAGTTCAAAGCAAAATGGTCATTCAATTTATAGAATTATAATTGGAGAATCTGTTTGTTAATGAAAGTTTTTTCCTATGAGCCGGCAGAGGAACTATACATGTGTATCACAAGGTTATCTGGGCTGGCCCAGTCTGCTTTGCAACTTGAATATGCTTTAAATTGCCCCTGAAATACAAGAGAGAGGCTAAGCTTCCTAAATTTTTCTCAGCTGGTGTATACAATGGCTCTTCAAGAGTAGGTTCATTTTAATCTTTAAAAGGAAAAAGGAATTAAAAAAAAAAAAGAACGTTATTAGTGAATGAAAAAGAAAGTCTCGCTCTCATACTTCTGTGTTTTGTAAAATAATATATGAATTTCCTGAAGAATGCATTTTTGGGGAAGAGATGAGCAAGTTGAATTGTAAATACTGAGTTCTTTCTCACAGTCTTCATCTGCTGTTTTATCTTACATGTAAATAGGTTTTTAGAAGTCTGCTGGTACTGGTAAGTGGCATCCACATTGGGTGTTTGCATAAATGATGTTATTCTTGGTGGAGCCTTAAATATCTGAGCATTTAGGCAGATTGTTTTGTGACTGTATTGGCCCGTGGTAAAATACCTTCTGGGACAGTCTTGAGTAATTTAAAACTGTTTCAGTTCAAGTCTATCTGGTGGATTCCAAAACTCCCAGAGTTGCCAAACACCCCAGATGTCTGCCACCATCAGCTTGTACAACAAAAGGGGGTTAATTACGGTGTATTTTCAAGGGAGTCACAGGATATATAAATAATCCCATTGTGTTCTTTGGAGTCTTTTATATTTATCCTCTATCCATGTTTGGGTAATACCTACATGGTGGAGGGGAGCATTTTGCTGAGGTCACATCAGTCAAAGGGATGAGACAAGCCAAGTCCATCAGTCCCCTGTGAGCACTGATAGGCCTGTATCTTGTGATCATGAAGCATTGCTCATGGCCTTTGGTCGGGACTTAATATGATCAGGTCTCCCCTGTATGGACCCCAGTTCCCTGACCTTTCTCAGGGCACCCAGTACGTGGGGAGGAAGGAAAGCTAACATTTGCTGAACAAGTATAAGGGCCAGGCTCTGGGCTAGCTAACTTCTCTTCCATTCTTCAGTTAGCCATTTCAGTGATGAAGCTGATATCCCAAAGGCCTCACTGTCTTAGATTTTTACCGATAATCCCAAACCTTAATTCTCTCTATCACTTGGATTTTCCCAAGTATTTCTTAAGAAACATAGAACCATACCTTTTTTTTTTAAGCCTACTAATAATAATCCTGCAATTTATTTCTTGCTTTTTACCATGAAGAATTTAAGGCGATTTAAAAAAGAAAACAAACCCATAGTACATCAAGATAGCATATATTACAAACGGCTGAGGAAGAAAAAACAAAGTGGAAAGAGATGCGCAGGCCTGAGGGGATGGGAGCAGCAGATCTAGATGTTCCTTACATGCTTTACTCCCTTTGCCATCAGAGGAAGTGGGTTTTCTGCCAAAACCACACGCAACTACCTTTTCCTGCGAAGACAGTGAGAATGCGGCGTAGGCTGCATCAGAAGAGACCAAGGCTCACTTTGGCTTTCTCAAAACCTGTGTATATTACAACTTAGAAAAAGAGCATGGCAAACTTTAGTTTAGGAAACCAACAGCAGTGAACTACACAAACTTATTCAGCATGTATTTTGTGCCGTAGGTTGTGTGAGACAGCCATCATTTGGGGTCATCTACCTAATAGGTCCAAGAGGTAGGTTGTGTGCTCTCCTTGTAAACAGGTGAGGATACTCCAGTTGGAAGAGGTTAGCTGATTTAACTAGGGACCCCCCCCCCCAGAGTTAAGTGGAGCTGGGCCATGAGTCATGTCTTCTGATTGCTAAGCAGTGTTGACTTTTCAAGGGGAATTACGTATACTAAGGGAGGTGTGTCAAGTTAGCTCATTTACCTTCTCTATTTGCTTTCTCCTTACATAGGCATTTCTAATTAACTTATAATAAGGGCATGTGGGGGGGCGCCTGGGTGGCTCAGTGGGTTGGGCCGCTGCCTTCGGCTCGGGTCATGATCTCGGGATCCTGGAATTGAGCCCCACATCGGGCTCTCTGCTCAGCAGGGAGCCTGCCTCCTCTCTCTGCCTGCCTCTCTGCCTGCTTGTGATCTCTCTCTGTCAGATAAATAAATAAAATCTTAAAAAAAGAAAAAATAAGGGCATGTGGGTGTGATGGCGGTAAGAAGCCGCAGCTGACAGACGGCAAGGGAGGGGAAACTAGCCATCTCCACTGCATGAAGACTGCTTAGCGACAGTCCCACACCCTTCCTGGTTCCAGAGAAGCCTGGCACAATTATGACATTTGTTAAGATGACCCACCTTATCAAGGAAAGCTCAGATCCTGTTTATTATAGTCTACGTATGAAGACAAAGGAGTGCTTTACTTTAAGGGTTTCATTTGGTCTTATTTTACTGTTAAAAGGGAGACAGCATGATATTATTTAGAAATGTATCTCCTCAGACTCATGATGTCTACCCTGCCTTGCCATGATTGAGGTTAACAGATAAGAACAGGAATGGGGGGAGTGGCATGTGTAATTGCCCAGATGAACCAGAAACTTGATAAGAGAGGCAAAGAGATGGCCTACTTGTTTCAAATCACAAGCATTGGGAAATCTATTATAAGAACCATACGATGTATTGTCTTTTGCATTGAATTGCACGTGGAAGTGAGAACTTACTCATTCCTAGGAAGCAAAAGTGAGAACTAAATATGGTTAGGTTTTTAAAGATGTATATGTCCTATAAAGGGTTTTTAAAATGATATTCTAGAGAGGATAGTGTCCAGGTTTTTATCCATCTATAAATGTATAATGGACCAAACTGTCTATGTAGTGCAAAAACAAGTAAGAAATTAGCTAAATTTACCTGTGCTATGATATTGAAAAATCAAATGGGTATACGTAAAAGTCTATAAAAATTGGAGATGTGGGAAATATTTTTTAGTAGATTTTTTTCTTAGTTTTTATAAAATGACTTTTTTGTTTTTTGTTTGTTTGTTTTTTAAGAGGGAGGGAAGAAGGGGGCTATGGGAGAGAGAGAGAGAATCCTAAGCAGGCTCCATACCCAGACCCCAACTCCAGCTCACGACCCTGAGATCACGACCTCAGTCAAAATCAAGAGTCGAACACTTAACCGACTGAGCCACCCAGGCCCCCTTCCCAGTATTTAAAAGTTACACAAAGGACCTGTAAAAATTACAATGTTTAGGGTGTGCCGGGGTGGCTCAGTGGGTTAAAGACTCTGCCTTTGGTTCAGGTCATGATCCCAGAGTCCTGGGATCGAGCCCCACATTGGGCTGTCTGCTCGGCAGGGAGCCTGCTTCCCTTCCTCTCCCTCTGCCTGCCCCTCTGCCTACTTGTGATCTCTGTCTGTCAAATAAATAAATAAAATCTTTTAAAAAAAAATTACAATGTATAGCTTTGAAAAATCATTTTGAGCAGTGAAGAAATGCAATGTTTGTTTACATCTTAAGGCATATATTCACTTTCTATGGAGAGAGTGAAAGATTTTTTTTTTAACGTGTCTGAAAACAAGTTTTGGAAATGGAATATATGTGTAAAATTCTGTTCTGAATGAGTTTTTTTCTTCTCTAACATGAGAAAGTAGTATGGAAGCCACCAGCTTTGAAACAGTGGTGCTGTTTGTTGGTTTACCTTCCATGTTGTATTGTCTAAAGAGGCTGAGGAGAGAGAGAAAAAAATGCTCCCTTCCTGCAAATTTAGTGGATATTTCCAAAAATAATAGCCCTACATCATTTACTTCTCCTTTCCCTCTGTGTTTGTTCACTGATCTTGTATTTGAGCCTTTGCGTGAACCCATCTATAGAACAAATAATACTGCCTTTTCTTTGGATTTCATTCCTGTGTTTCAGGTGGGCCAGCCATGAGAGGGTACCTTGTGGCCATATTCCTGAGTGCTGTCTTTCTCTATTATGTGCTGCATTGTATATTATGGGGAACAAACGTCTATTGGTAAGTTTTAGTTTTGTTCTTCAGTATTTTTTTTTTTAAGGAATTTATTTATTTGAGAGAGGGAGAGAGAGAGCAGAGTCAGAGGAGGGTCAGAGGGAGAGAATCTCAAGCAGACTCTGCACTCAACAAGAGCCTGATGCGGGGCTCGATTTCACGACCCTGAGATCATGACCTCAGTTGAAACTAGGAGTCAGTTGCTTAACTGACTGAGCCACCCAGGCACCCCATTATTTTTGCTCTTTAAAAATAATTCCCAAACTAGGCTTTCACAGAGACACACAAATGATACTAGAGGGACCTATAAAACAAACAAACAAAAAACAACCTCTTTAACATTTTGAACCTTTTCTAATAGCTTTCCATTATAAGTTGGAGTTTTACCATTCCAGTGTCTTCTATGTTGTACTCTAACAGTTTAAAAACTGATAAAATAGCACCTTCTTTTTATTGACTTTTCAGTGAAGCAGTGATGTTGATTATCTTTGGGATATAACATTCCATATATATTTCATCTCCTTGAATTGATGGAATAATTTTTGGACTCAGTGGTACTTGACTGTTGAACCTAAAATAAGAAATTACTGATTAAAATATAGACACTACATATGGTTCTCTTTGTTTAAAAATATTTGGTGAATATAGGTGTACATTATGAAACCATGTTGACTTTAAATGTCACATATAAAACTTGGAAGAGGCACAGGTAATTTTATTGCAAAGAAAAACGTATCAAATAAGCTTTTAATCGTTTTCCCTATTGTTAGTCCTTTGGCTAGGAATAAAGTTTTGATGACCTTTAAATCCTGAGTGGATGGTTGTATATGATATCAAAATAAATCACATGGTAATTTCCTGTCTTAAATTCTCACTACTCTTTGCCAGTTTTTCAGTAGGAGATCCTAGATCAAGTTTCTGGGTTTTGTTTTGTTTTTTTTTTTTTTTTTCCTACTAGATAAAAAAAATTGATGCTTCTGAATTTATTTCACCACTGGTTGATTGAAAAATTATTGTAATGCTCTTCATGGAAGGAAGTTAGGCAGATGGTCCTTGGGAAAACCCAATGCCAGGTGGGTAGGTTTGGCCCTAAGTTTCTAGACTTTGGACTTAAATACTGAGCTAGATGACTTAGAGGGTTTATTACATACTACATGAGGGTTATACCATGGGGATCTCTCCTTCCATCTTTGCCATATCTTATCTCTGTCCCACACTCAGTAATGGAAGACAGAACAGAAGAGAAAGCAAGGAGTTTACCAGATGGCTACTTCCCTACAAATCCTATTGTGTGTCACAAGGGGAATGATAAGGAAGACCATATAAAGAATCTAAATTCTACACAGTCTTTTGTCCTCAGGGTTTGAGGAGTGTTCATGACACGCTTAAGGTAACACACTCACTCCAGTCACATAAAGTACCGTGGGAAATTACCTCAGGTGGGTTTTGTGCTGTGAACTTGATTCCTTAAGAATTATTTAAGACAGATACCCTTTTTAAGCCACTCAGAGTTTGTCTTCACAATCTCCTAAAAGGTCTTCTGTTTGAATAAGCTTAGAAACCAAGTAATAGCTTATAGTCCATTTTGTCCTCTGAATATAATTTTGTTTTTATGGTCTAATGTCCTGGTCCACCATATTTACATACCTTCCTTACATATAAATCAAGGGATTCTTGTCATTTGTGGTATTCACCAAAGATGTTTTTCTGATAAGGACTTCATTAGCTTCACAGTTTAGAAACCTAGCAGAATTTTTTAACAAAAAAATTGAAAATTGAGACCAATTCTTTTAGTTTGAGTCCTGTGATTATAGAAGAAATTGGATTAGTTTTTTTAAGATGAGTTCCTCACATCATTGATCATTAACATCTTCTTCTTCTTCTTCTTCTTTTTTTTTTTTTTTTTTTTTTTGACAGACAGACTTCACAAGTAGGCAGAGAGGCAGGCAGAGAGAGAGAGATGGGGAAGTAGGCTCCCTGGTGAGCAGAGAGCCCGATGTGGGGCTCGATCCCAGGACCTTGAGATCATGACCGGAGCTGAAGGCAGAGGCTTTAACCCACTGAGCCACCCAGGCGCCCCATTAACATGTTCTTCTGTTAAGCAGTAATGAAGCTGGCTAAATCTGGATCCTGTCACCATGTTCCCTTCATTTATTTTTGTTGTCGTGCTCTGTCTTGTTTCACAATACCCTTTTAAATTGTGGAGACAAGCAGTCCATTCAGGAGACCCAGAGGGCCTAACCTGTGCCAAGAATAGAGAGGAGTTCCATATGGCTCTGAATAGTGTGATTTGTGGAAGCCAGATCACAAGGCTGCATCTGTGGAATTGCAGGTCTGTGTTTCTGTGGCAGGTGTTCCCAGATGTGGCATGGAGGGCCGAGATAGCCATGAGCATGGGTGTGTGTTGGGTTTCTCAGGTTCTGGGTTGGGGGGATTTCTAAAAAGTCAGCCTGCTTGAGGCCTCCACAGTGTGGTAATCCTGGCCCTACTTGAAGGCTTTTTGTTCGGTGCTCACTGAATTACTTCTGGGTCGCTCGTCACCTCAGCCTTTCTCATTCTCTTGCCTTGTATCCATGCATCCTCCAACATATGTAAGGTACTGTCCTCCCTTAAGGGCTTCTGTGAGAATTTTTAATTCCATGACTGAGTAGCCTTGAGGTGGTGGCACTGAACAGATTCCCAGGGCATTCGTTTTCCTCTGGGCGGGCTGCCTGGTTCTGGTTTCTGACTGACCCTATTTTTGTCTCATAGGGTGCCACCTGTGGAAATGAAGCGGAGAAATAAGATCCAGCCTTGTTTATCAAAGCCAGCTTTTGCCTCTCTCCTGAGGTAAAAATCTAAAAGAAACTGTGACGGACGAAATGTTCAAAACGTGTTTGTGATCATTTTTCACACTTGTTTACTTTTTTTCATGTAAATCTTAGCAGTATAAAGTAGACACTCTGTATTTAGGAAAGAGCTTGAATATCCTGTCTCTTTTTGTGCTTTTAGTCAGAGCTCTGCATATATTTTCAGCAAAGGCATCGAAGAACTCAGTCAGACCAGTATTCTTTTCACACAGGTCAGATTAGAGACTGATTTGTGTTTGATTATAAAAAAGTGAACTATTCTTCAGGGTTTTACTTCCCCGCCCTTGTTGTTCCCATGTTGTTTTTCACCTTTATTATTTTGTGGCTTTTTGTCCCTGGCCTCTAGGTTAAACTTTATGATGCCACCTTTTTCCTGACTTTGAGGGACTTTCAGTGAAGTACTTGGAATGTAAATAATGATCTTTATATGGTAAAGCCATATAAAACACTTGTAGAAAAGCCACAAATATTCTTTTCCTCTGTTCCCTCAACTTTGACAGATTGCTGGTCAATAGCTTCTAGAGAAATAGAGATAAATGACAGTCTGGTCATTTTAATTGTGTAGAACAGGTATGGGCTTTTCAATATTTTACCCACTAAGGATCAAAAATGTCTGTTTTCTTTTAGTAATGTTACTGCACCTTTTCATTACTGGTTCTTAACCTCTTGGGGCTATAGATTCCTTTAAAATCAACTCTCTAGGAAACTGCAGGTACAGAAAACATTTCTGCCTATGATCACAAGTATGCATGGCTAGGACCACTGCAAAGGAATATGTTTTACTTTGGAACCCAGTCTACACTGGGATAAATACATTTTACCTTGGAACCCAACATGTATAAATAAGGCTGGACCCTCGAGAGTGCTGTCACAGTCACAATTAAGTCTAGGGGACAGATCTGCGTCAAGCAGGAAAGGCTCATCCTCACCTGTTTCCTTAGTCTGAACATGGTGTGAGCTCTCACGTAGCTCTGAAGACTAAGCTTATGGGACTTGTCCAAGGTTAGTGGCTCCTGAGTGGCAAAGCCAAAAGGAAACCGGAGCTATGTTACCCCTATCCCACTGCAGTTTATTTCCTTCTTGTCATACAGCCCCTGAAACCCCAGGGCACTGTAATCTGCACCTGCAGTTTTTAAACTGAGAGAGCAGAGCTGATAAGACTGGAAAATGGGGTCAAACGTGAGGGTCAGAGTGTGCGATAGTTTGACTCGTTCCTTCTCTTTAATTAAAAAACCTTTTTTTTCCTACGTCCTACTGACTCCATAAAGAAGTAGTATGGAGGTGAAATTCATTCAGTCATTTATTAAGCATATGTAGCCTGCTTACTCTGTGCTGGGTGCTAAAATTGGGGGCACGGGGACAGAAGCACATCCCACTCTCCTCATACTGCTCTCTTGTCTGCAACAGGACCTGAGTGGGGTCAGCAGGGCAGGACAGAGCAGGCAATAAGAAGACAACACCCACGGTTCTTGTTCTTGAGAAAGTCTGAATGATATCAGAAGAGAGTTTAATCCTCAGCGCATCGAAATTTTATTATATTTTTATTTTCACAGCTGACACAACTTCATACATATGGAACTTTTACATCTGGGAGTGGCTTAGCACCCATGCTTTTATTTTCCCTTATTGCCTGCTTTGTCTCTTCCTGCATGTGGCTACCTTGTTTTCGCTTGGTATTGGTTTGTTTTTAAATTTTGATTCCCCCTCGCTAGCCCCTGAAGCTATGACGTAATTTTGTTTCCACAGCCTGGAAAGTGTTTGCACTCTGGTTGTATAGTTCCATTGCATATTCCATTCTGTGACTTTTAAAGAATTTAGAAAATAATTACACATTCACATACAGTCAGTATATCAGGAAGAGTACTACACTGCAGTTGTCTTCAGCTGTGATTTTTAGAAGGCTACAGATATGTAGGCATTTGGGAGAATCACTTTTTCCTTTTCTTGCAGGTTTCATCAGTTTCACCCTTTTCTGTGTGCAGCTGATTTTAAAAAGATTGCTTCCTTGTATGGTAGCGATAAGTTTGATTTGCCCTATGGGATAAGAACATCAGGTCAGTAATATTATTCTTTACCTAGCCCTAGTCATGTGAATGGTGTTTGATGTGAACCACCTATTTATGTAATTTTAAGGCCTTAAAGGAAATGCTTTGGAGATGGGATGAAGGAAATTAAATTTTAATATAAAAATCCCTACCCCTTTTTGAGGGGCAGTGTAGAATTAAAGAATAAAGAATTTAAGAATAAAATGGCACATTTGTTGTTTTTATTGAGAAACTGCTTTTTACTTTGGTTTAGCCCCATGGTATTATTCATGCGTTCTCATGCTTTAGTTGATTCCAGTGTAGAATTAGCAGGGTAACCCTGTGAGTTGGGTTAATGTCCTTTCCAGCTCCCCTTTCCGCCTCTTTACCTCTGAGTTTTGTTTATTCCATCAATTTAAGATCTAGCTCCTGGATCAGCCTTTTGACCAGAGGGTGTTTTACTTTTGCCAAATTGAGAGAGAATCCCTCTATCTACTAATGACAGAATAGTTTTCTCTTGGCATGTCGACAGGTGAACTGGCTAGCTTTACATTGTAGATCTAGGCGAGACCCGGAAGCCCAAGAGGTGACAGGCTTACAGTTTTCCAAGTTAGATTTTGCATATTCATCTGATCCTGGTGTATTGTATGCATGGGTGTGTATATGTTTTAAAAATATACCGCAGAGAATTTGATAATACAGCTAAATTTACTGAAAATTGGTTTCTAGACTAATGTCAGTTTGAAAGGCTATATTCTATACTAGAATTCTATACTACATTATACTAATGTCATTTGATGTTGATATTTATTGTTTTCAGATTAAGCATCTTTTCTTTTTTTCTTTTCTGGACTTTTTGTAACGTGTCCTCGGAGCATTTTTTTTTTTTTTTTAAGATTTTTATTTATTTGACAGAGCACAAGTAGGCAGAGAGGCAGGCAGAGAGAGAGAGGAGGAAGAGGCAGGCTCCCTGCCAAGCAGAGAGCCCGGATGTGAGGCTCGATCCCAGGATCCTGGGATCATGACCTGAGCCGAAGGCAGAGGCTTTTTAACCACTGAGCCACCCAGGCGCCCCCCTCAGAGCATTTTTGAGTGTGCCTGTTGAATAGTGCTGGCTAAGTGCAGCTGTATTGTTAATTTTCACCACGGAATAAACCCCTGGGGCCGTTACCAGTTTGAAATGGGTTTGGGGCAGGGAAGGGGACAGATGGCTTACTAAGTACCTAAGAAGCCATAATTCCTTTTATTTATATTATTCCATTTGTTTTCTAGCGGAATATTTTCGACTTGCTCTTTCAAAACTGCAGAGTTGTGATCTCTTTGACGAGTTTGACAAGTGAGTTTATTTCCTTGCTTTTGTTTGACGGGTTTGAGCTAATGGGGTTCAAAATGTGCACCCCAATTTAAAATGTCTTCATACAAGAAGATTCCTTAGTATTTGTGCATAACTAAAACCTCTAGTAGTTATTTCTGTGATACTTCAAATAAAATACAAAATTAATTTAGAAGCTGCATAACTGGTTGTCTCAAAGGTTTGCAGAGAGCCTTACGATGATGAGCAGCGCTAGTTCCAGGTCAAGATACTGTATTCCACATTCATCTTTTCTAAGTTGTTGGTACTGAAGAATTAACTTATAGCCTCCGTTGCTCAACTCACAGCCCCCTCCACAGGCTGTTTCCTGTACCTTCCCATGGATCTTTTTTTTTTTTTTTTTAAAGATTTTATTTATTTATTTGTCAGAGAGAGAGAGGGAGAGAGAGCAAGCACAGGCAGACAGAATGGCAGGCAGAGGCAGAGGGAGAAGCAGGCTCCCTGATGAGCAAGGAGCCAGATGTGGGACTCGATCCCAGGACGCTGGGATCATGACCCGAGCCGAAGGCAGCTGCTCAACCAACTGAGCCACCCAGGCGTCCCCCCATGGATCTTTTTAACATGAGGATCCTTTCTGTTTCACTTGAATATTGGATTTCAGAAGCACTCTCTTCCTCTTATTCAGAATTATACTGGAGGGAAGCAAACAGCTTGTTTAGATAATACATTTTCTGACTGCAAAAGGTCATTGAGTTTGTAGAATACTCTGGTGTCAGGTTAGCTGTGTAGGAATGAAATTGCTAAAGATAGACTTCTTAGTAGGTATACTTACTTTTAGAGAGGTAGAATTTCTTCTCAAATTTTTAGGCTACATTTTAGGATTTGGCCAGTGGTCCCGTTGGATGGTACAGGTGGTCTGCAGATGTCAGGCCTCCACTGAAAAGGAGAATGACAGAATTTTCCCTCTTGCTCAAGAGGACAGGTGAGCTATTTAGTGGAAACATAAGTGAGGGTAGTGGACAGAGGTATGAAAATGGAGATAGACTTTACAAAATAGCTAGAGGAACAGTGCTCGATTTTGTCTGAATTTATCTCCTTTTTCTCTGGGAGCCCAGATTATGAGTGTGGATTATGTAATAAATGTTGCTCATTTCAGCTTGTATTTACTTGTTATCATTTAAAACTATGTCTTCAGCTTAATTTCAGTTTTGATTGCATATCAACACCAACCACATATGTTCTTTCCTCACCTAAAGTTTTATAGCTCCAATGGGTAGAATATTGTTTTATGCAAACCTTTGGCAAATGTGCATTCTATCATGCGTCCCAATTTTTACCATCAATCTGCAAACTATCCCTGATAATCCTTTTTTTTTTTTTTAAATGGGGGAATTGAAACTAGACACACATACATAGTTTTCTGCAGTCAGCAAATGCTAGAGCCAGGATGTGAATCTAGAGAGTTCTGTCCAGTGCCTGAATGTTTGACATAAGAGTAACCATCACAAGATCCTTGTCCCTGTAAATGTGAGCTACTGTCAGGATCCTTGGGGTGGGGGGTGCGACTAGAAGTTTCATTCTTTTCTGGGTTTTTAGAACTACTTAGAATTGTACTGTATGTAGTTGCTTTCAGAAGCCCTTCTCACACAGGTGTTCATCATCTGTGCGTCCCTCAGGCAGGCTCTTCCCTCTCTTCTTGCTGACTTGACCTTGCTGTTCCCCACCCTTTGTCCTTTGTCACTGAGCATGTCCCCCACTCCCACCCTCAACCCGTGTCAGGCTCTGAGCATCACCCGAATTAGGAGAGGTGGGTGTGGGTGGTGAGGAGGGATTAAAGATCTTGCTGATCGCACAGGAGCCCTTGAGTCTGAAGTTGTCAAGGGACTGAAGTAGAATAAAATAATGTAGTCAGAGACTTTTCAGGTAGAGAGAGAATGGAGAATGTCCTTGTAGGATGCCCGCAGAGTGCACACAGGGGATGCGTTCAGATACTGAGTCAGCGTTGCCGAATGGCTTGTTTTACTGTGCAAACCTGTTTCCTAGGGACTTGAGAAAGTATTTTGAAAGCAGATCAGAATACACTTATGACACTATTACATTCTATGTGCACATTAACTTTTGGGATGGGTTCACATGTAATAGTAAATTATACCTATATTTTAAGCAAGTCATTCTGCATTTGTCTGGAAGCCACTGTACAACACAAAGACTATAACAGACCAATCCGTGCCTGAGCAGTGTACTTTACATAAACTCCAGAAAGGCAGAATATACAAAACTACCTTATTGTTGCCTCCAAGTCACCTCACTTTGGTCACCATATATGACCTTAAACATCTCCCATTTCTCTTCTCCACCTGGGAAAATTGCTCCAGAGGAAGCAGACTCGAGAACAGACTCTTTTTCAGGCAGAGGGGGTGGACTACCCCAGCCAAGGTGTGAGGAGGTGGTCATACACAGGCCAGGTGGAAGCTTCATGGGCCTGGGCGGGTGTAGGCTGCTCTCTCTTTGTCATAGGTCTGTAGGTTGGGCAGGGCTGAGCAGGAGAGGGGGGAGCTCGGCCTTTCCCAGTCCGTTCTGCTCTGGGCTGCTCTCTTCATGGATTTTATTCTCCCTCTGTCCTCTGTCCCTTCCAGAAAGGTTTAGACATTTTGTCATTGTTTCAAATCCGAATCCTTTCAGTTCTACCAGATCCAAGTCCTAGTTTTGTTCCATTGCATTCCCTCGCTTGTGTGATGCCCTCCATTGGGACACATTGCACTGTGAATGGCAAAGCTCTAAATATCAGATGGGTTTACAAGATGAGAAGCTTCCCCTTTCTCACAGGTGTGACTTAAATGAAGCCTGCAGGTTGACATTCCAGAGCCAGTCTGCTAGGATGATCGGCAGGGGCCTGGGCTGTTCTGTTGTGAGTCTGCCATTCCCATATACAGAGCTTCCTCCTCAATGTCCAGTATGATGGCGGGACCTTCACCCATCACGGCTGCATTCTGGCCAGTAGGGAGGAGCAAAGGGGAAGGCCATGCCCCTGCCCATTAAGACTTGCCTCCTGCTTTAAGGACATTGCCCAGAAATCACATACAATACTCTTTTATACCCAGGAGTGTGCTGCAGCCAGTTGGTACCAGCTTGAGTAGTTCTTTCCAGTTCCATGATCAGTGCCATCAAGGTAGAAAGTTGAAATTAGCCACTCGGGGTATTTATACCATAGAAATGGGCAACACTGCAAACCAGGGCTTCTCCTATCATCTCTTTTTCTCCCAGAGAGAGCTGGTGGTTAACATCAGTTAGCAGCCACTAGGTTGTATCCCATTGACTAGGGATATAATCACAAGGTCACACCGAACTGGAAGGTAGGTGAGAAATGTAGCCTTAAAAGAAAAAAAAAAAAAGTCGTCTTTATTAAAAGTGGCTGTGTGCCCACATTAAAAAAAAGTCCTATTTTAAGGGACAAAGGAAGCCTTATTGAGGGGCAACTGGTCTCCAAATATTTAGGATTCTGAAGTCAGTTACATGACTATATCAACCTAGCTGAGTGCTTGAGGAAGCCATCCATGGTTTGCCTCTTGGAGAATTAATTACCTGTGAAAGCTGTTGAAACATATTGGTGTTGTAGTTCATTTTGAAGTGGCATTTCTTTTTTTAAGTTTTTAAATTTTATGTATTATTTTATGAATTTGACATTTTTTTTTAAGATATTGTTAGAGAGAGCCCACGTGCAACTTGGGGGGCAGAGGGAGAGAGAGAGGGGATCTCAAGCAGACTCTGTGGTGAGTGCAGAGCCTGACATAGGGCTCGATCCCATGACCCTGAGATCATGACATGAACTGAAATCAAGAGTCAGCCGTGTAACTGACTGAGCCACCCAGGCACCCCCTTAAGTGAAATTTCTCATGAAGGACTTGTTACATGTGCCATATTGGTCGGTGAGAGAGGGAGCACAGCAAGGGGAGTGGGAGAGGGAGAAGCAGTATAATTTGTTTTCCAAACCACTTTTTTCAATTGAGATGAAATTTACATAAAACGAACCATTTTAAAGTGGACAGTTAGTGGCATTTAGTACATTCACAAAGTTATGCAACCACCACTTCTAGCTAGTTTCAAAAAGACATACCATTTTTTAAAACAATTAGAGCAACCCTTTTCTTGTTGGTTTTGTTTTGTTTTGTTTTGTTTTCATGTTCCTCCTGTTATGGAAATGCTCAGATGGGCTCTCGGGCCAGGACTTAGGCAGCAGAGGAGTGATCATAAACCAGGCACGGAAGGAGACCTTGAGAGAGCTTGAGAGAAGGAGAGGGTTTGGGGAGGGGTAAGGAAGTAAGCAGGCGTGGGACATTTAAATAGATATAGATTTAAATAGATATATCAGCCCTTGTGAAAAAAGGCACTAACTGCTTTATGAGCTTGGGCAAGGTCTCACGCTTCTGAACCTTAGTGTCATGGAAAAGAGGAAAATGGAAGGAACTGCATATGCACATGTTGCCAAGAGTGGTTTTAATTGTTAATTGTTAAGTCCATGTAACCATTGCACAGTTGTTAAGTCAGTGGAAGCATGGGGTGGGGGGAATGGGGTGGAGTACATGGACTTCTCAGTGCTGATTTTACAACTTCCTGCGAATCTAGAATTATTTTGAAGCAGAAAACTTACACTGAAACCTATGACCACCAAACTTGTTTTACATGAATGTTCACAGGAACATTATTCAGAATAGGCTTGAAGTGGAAACAACCCAAATATCCAGCTGCTGAATGGATAAACTAAATGTCTATCTGTTCAAAGGAATATTATTCAGTCATGAAAAGGAACCTTGAAAATACTGTGCTCAGTGAAAGAAGCCAGTTGTGAAATCTCACAGACAAATACTGTTATATACAATAGAATACCTTGTATCGTGTACAGCTATTACATGATGCCATTTGTATGAAATAAGTAGAATAGACAGAGCTGTAGAGACAGAAGATAGATTTGTGGTTGTGGGGAGGGGGAGGAGAGGAGAGCAAGTGTTTTGGGCTGTGGGGTCAGA